ATTTTGGTCTTAAACCTCATTATTCTAAGAAATTTCATTTTTTATCTATTAAACAGCGGAGCTTAAAATCACCCGTTATGATTTCCATGGAATTTAAATTCCATCCCTCTTATAGGATATATTCTATGTACCAAATTTGCCATTATGGATATTACTTTTAATTTATAAATCAAACATTCACGAAGACGTGGGTAAAGGATTCTTTATAATCACAAACAATAAGATGAAGGATTTTAAAAACGAAAGAAAATATTATTAGAATCAGTAAGTGCCTTTCTTTTCAACTCATTTTTAATCTAGTTCAGTTCTGTACTTTTTTTATTAGTTCAACATTTTTAAGTTGGCAATTTGGATGAAGTTATTCACCTTTCAATTCAGCATTTTTCACTTCAATTGAAAAGAAAAGACCTATGTGTGTTCATAAACTTATACCTAATGTCCTAATCTTCTAAAGACGAGAGTTTGCAAAATGTGTTGTTTCAACAGGAAAACATACCCAATTGCCAACAAAATATGTTCTAGCTAGAAAGATAACGATTAACGATAACTATTTTTATTTGAACTTTTTAAGGAATTTCACCTTGAAGAATGATCATCACGTTACACTACCTACCTGCTCAGAAACCTCCTCAAGTTTGTGTCCAAGCTGGTTCAAAGCATCAGCATAGGCGCCTTGAACGTCTAGGTTTCCAATTGCATTTGATAGAGCTCTTCCTTGGAGATACTCCATGGATAAGTAGTAGGTTTGCTTTGGATTCACTTTGTGGTAATGGAGATATGTATCATTCCATTGCTTGAAATAAAAATGGAAATCCCAAAGAAACACTTAGATAATCAAATAACACATCATATTTAGCACACAAAAAATGGAACTTTTGTGAGAACTCACAAAAATTGGCAAAAAAGTTTGATTTTTCTTTTTAGTTTGTCCCAAAATAAGGGTCCACTTTTCTTTTAAGTGGAAAAAGTATGTGTTTCATATTATTTCTTTCACCTCTCCATAAAACTCAACCAAACAATTTACCATTCTCAATAACTGTGTCGGCACAAATGTAAAACCTTATTCCAAGCTGGGAGGAGTATGTTAACTTGTTAAGTCATCCCGCCTCGGATGCATATATAGACAATCCAGTGTAAAAAAAAACCTTGGGCTACTTCCCCTATTAGAGTTCATCTTTTTAGGATGAAACAACACGTCTTAAGACTTCCTCTCTCTCACTTTATATGCCCGGCGTTCCTTTTTAGTCTATTGCAAAATAATACTTCGTATCTACTTTTCTTGAACCAAACTAACTTTTACTTTTTCTAATTCATCACTTCTCTCTTACTCTCTTCAACCCAAAATAAACACACTTTCCCTTTCGGTCCGTCCCAAATGGAAGTAAATTTCTTTTTTGGTATGGAATATCAAATCAATTCCGGCCACACACTTTTCCCTTTTCAACACTTTTCTTTAACTTGGTGTCTAGTCAAAGCGGACTTTTAATTTGAGATGGGGAGAACTTTTTTGAAATGTTTTGACACAATAGGTTCCATTTCATACTTTCATAGACAAATTGGTGAAGCGAACTACAAACTCTATTTTTTTCGTTACAAACAAGTTGGTAATTAAGACTTGCGTGAATCATGATCGCAGCTAACTCGATCTATATAGAAGCACTCCAATAATAACTTAGTTGCTGCACAAAAGGGTATGCATATATTCCATTAAACAAGCAAACAATTGACCACATGAAAAATTCCAAAAGGATTAGCAATCCTACTTTGATCAATCGGTCCCGAACACTATCAGCAGTTGCATAGTATGCTTGCTCTGGATCAGACTTGGATAGCGAAAAATGAGGGCTGTACTGAGAATGATAACTGATATTGGATGCTATCTCTGATGGATCTTCAGCCAGTGGATGAGCAATGGCCGGAACCTTGGGTAGCACATCCACTTTAGAAGCCACATCCATGACAGTGGCCTTTCCACAAGTTCCCATGTTTATAACCTACAAATGACCAAGAATTCACTCAATTAAAACTCAATTTCTGTTCATATCAAGAGAAAGAACAAGAACAGATGAATTATTACCAAAAGAAAATCAAGATCCGCAGGAGAAATAGAAAAAGAAATGATGAAATGACAATGGGTAACTAGCAAAGATCAGAACTTTACAGAAACTGATTGAGAATCTCTTCAAGCTTCTAACTTTATCAAGAAAAAACCCACAATACCCAGTTCAAAACTGAAGGTTTTCTGTGTGAAGTTGATCGAGGGCGGTGGGAGCTGAAAGAAGATGCGGAGTATTTAGCAGAAAAGGCCAAAAGAGGTGAGGAAAAAAGAAAGGGGAGAGGGGTGTTGTGGCGGAATATGCTCCGTCCAGGCCAAAATACCGAAGAGACAAGTGACAGTAATGGAGGAAATAAGTGTCAAGATGATTGATGGAACATGGGGGCGAGAGAGGATAACATAAAAATTGTAAATAGTGTTTCAGAATTCACAGGTGACTCACACACAAGACAACGAAAGAGGCGTAATAATTTTGGGGGTGACGATAAAAGTAACACGTATCACCTGACCACATGGTACCCATGAAGCACAAGAATTAGTATGCACACAGACAGTGGAATATGGATTGTGGAAGTGAAAGGCGAGAGCTACCTAATTAGCACAAAATTTATACCAAGTTGGGAGAAAATATTTTACTCAAAACAATATTTTTCAAAGGAAAATTAATTCTCCAATAAATTTATTTTCCTCTCATATTAAATTTTCCATTATTTGATAGTAAGGAAATATTTTTTTTTCAAAGAAACACTTTTAATGATTAAGATTTCGAAATTGATGTTTATACTAAGATGAGGGGCCGGGGGATATATGTTTTGAAGATAATTTAAACCATTTTAAACCATTGGCGCCGGAAAAAGGGAGGAAGAGGTAGGGGCAGATAGCACAGGTTCAGGGAGCAGCGTAGGAGGGGGCGAGTGGTAAGGGTTGCGACGTGAGGGGTGGGGGTGGCAAGGTAAGAGGTAGGGGCATGGGATGGTGGAGAGTGAGTAATATATTTTTCTTCACCAAACCGATACATAATATACAAAATTAGTCCGTATGTAATATCAATGCATAATATAGAATTGTGGTATGAGAGTGTTAAAAACATAAAAATTTTTATTGTTGTTTTAATTTGGCTTTCTGAAATTGTATTATAGTATATAAGTTTACTGTTTTAGTCTTATTTAGATACAGAGAAATTAACAAAAACAAAAAATAATACTCCCAGTGTAAAAAGATTAAAAATAATTGTCCATTTACGGATAATATCTTGACTTAACACGTCTTCATTTTTACTTCGTAATTTATTTGGTGTATTGATAACGATTGTGTTCAGCGATAAACTACATATTTTTGGTATATTTGGCTCTTTAAATGTTTTTTTCTTGTGATATTATTGACAGTTCAAAGAGATTATAATTTTTTTGAATCAAAATATCCTTATTTTTAAGTAATAATAGCATAGAGATGCATTTTTTGTTGCTCTCATTTTCGTAAATTTCAAGATAGAGGGTATGGAGTATCTCATTTATATATTAATAAAGTTTTTTAAAATAGTACTCAATAACAAAGTATTTCTCGAATAAGTTCTTAAGATGAACTAATAATTACCAAGATAGTATTCGTTAATTGAAAATAATGCATAACGTAATCTCCGACTAACCGTCATCAAGACAGTGTTAAAATGATGTTAAAACATAAAAATTAATTTTCTAAAATAATCCTTTCAAATTAGGTATTTTCTCAAATTAGTACATTTTTGGAATAAAAATTCAATAATTATGGAAAATAACTTTAACTTTTATAGAATGAAAATATAATAAATAAAATTATTAGTCTCGTTTCATAATACTCATTTCTTCCCAAAATAAGGCTAATGCTAATAGAAAATTTTAAATCCATCTACTTTTAGTTATATTCATTTGAAAATAACTTTGGTCAAACATTAGAAAGCGAAACAATAGTCTTATTTCTGAATAGATGGAAGGGTTTACTAAACATGTTTTACATGTTTCCAAATAATTTTAAATAATCTAAACGAATGAAACCTTTAATTTTCAAATTTATTAAATTACATTTGAATTTTTATTTATTATATTCTATAGTGCATTCAGTACACAAGCGTCCACGACATTCGATTATGACTTGACCCACATAACCTCCGCCGCGGGACAATTGATGCACACATAACCAACATAATTTTCCAAAATAGTTATTTACTCCTTCCGTCCCAAATTATTTGCAACGCAAAATAAAATATTCTTGACACCTCTTATTTCGAAGAACTTTTCATGTAGTTTTTTAATATGAAAATTTTATTTTTTATTTCTATACCAATATGTAAATAAAATGAATTGAAAACACTTATATTTTGCATCGAGAATACAAGTATGACAAATATTTAGGGACGGAGAGAGTATTATAATTAGGCACCCATAGTTCACTCCCTCAGATTTCCAAGTTACCGTCAACGCGCGAGAGGATCTTGAACATTATAAGCCATGGCAAAATTCCAAGTAACTGTCTTACGAAGCACCATTATGAGAATCGATCTCATGTCTAAGGAACTAGACAAAGAACTCTTACTTTTCATTGGTCATTTTGAAAAACATCCCCATTACAAAGTACTTCATCCGTACCAAAATGGATACCAGTGTTACTACTACGACATCTCGATAATTTTTTCTTGTTTGTGCATTTTCATTGATAATTTGAACGATGTAATTTATACTTTTTATTTCCATACCAATTTATAATTAAAGTAATTTTAAAAGTGGTGAGATTTTATACATTGTTCGAAGTGTTGTTGAAATATTAGAATAATAATATTGTTTCTTGAATTATGAAGTACATTGATGGTGTAAATTATCGACCGGTATACCGTTTTTAGCCCGGCTAAAACGATAAACTAGTCTAAAAATACACCAAAATATAAACACGGGGATTTTGACGTGGAAACCCAAATCGGAAGAAAACCACGGGCCTTTTTTGGCGATACCTTGCCAACGGGGGATTTTTATTAATATCGGGGGTGTGTACACGGTACAAGAGTTCGGCTCGAAAGCCATTAATGGTGGAGCTAGAAGCTCTTTAAAGAATGAAAATGCACAATAATCTAGGGAGAGAAACAAAGTGGGCAGGGGAGAGTGTAAAAATTGGCCTCCTCTTCCCATTGGGGGCACCCTCTTTTTATAGGGAAGGAGGGGAAGCATATTCGGGGAATATTCTCTTATTCCTCCATTTTATTAAACAGGCCCGGTTTGTTTGTTCTTCGTAAATAATTGGGAAATGTGGGCCGAGTCACGTATTATTTCCCATCAAGAAGTCCTCCACTTTTTTAAGTTGTGAGAATCATCAACTTAAAAAAGTAGACAAGTCCTCCGAGTGATATTTTCAGTCTTCGTACTTTGGATTCTTGACCGGTTGATATTATTGCTAGTCCTCCGAGTCTTCATTAATTCTCTAATCAGAAGTTTTTCCTGCAAAAAATAATATGTACAACATATTTTTTTTGACCGGCCTATGCCGTGCTCAAAAAATTATTATCTTTACCGAGGAGCTCGGTGTTAGAGTGGTTAAAATTCGCGTGAATAATTATCGTAACAAGAGCGATGTCAGTTCGACAAAGCAACGATGCTTCGAGTAGTTATACGACACCGGAGTTAGTACGATGAAGCGGCAGTGCTTCAAGTAGTTATTTCGTCGAGACCGATGTTAGTACGAATTAAGTAAACGATGCATGACGAAATTAGTATACAGACGACATCGACGATAGTTAATAAGAATTGAGTACGCTGCAGCAGCTTTGTTGAAGATCGATCCTAGCCCGGTTAACTGATGTAAATATCTTCGTATCATGTAGAAACCACTTCTGGATTGCCTTGTTCAAAGGGCCTGAAGAATCGGGCGTCCCCGATAAGGGCTCAGCTGAGCCACCGGTGTACCCAATTCGATTGGGGTCAGACTTACGAGAAAATATGTGCAAGACCAGTGTGTATATCATTCTTGGCCTGTCTCGCGCATAAGAATGATATTTACCAGCGTGCCAGGCCGGGCCTGTGTCACATATTTTAATATTTTTTTTATTATACTGAGCAAGACCGGTGTAGTAACCAGCGTGCCAAGCCGGGCCTGTGTCTCAGTCTTCCTCTTTTTTTTTAATACTGAGCAAGACCGGTGTTGTAACCAGCGTACCAAGCTCGGCTTGTGTCTCAGTCTTCTCTCCGCATTCGTCCAAAAAGTATGTACAAATACCCAAGTTATTGCTCCATAATGCTTGGTGCAATGAACACACCCAATTGTTAGTGGTGGCCCCAATTGAACATAAATGAGAGAATCAACCCACCTAACCCACTAGCTCTTTTTTCTTGGATCAAAGCTAATGTTTTACTCCTTATTTTATTGGCCAGCAACCTTCCCTAGATGCAAAGAGCAAGCCCATTATACACTCTGTACTTTCTTCTAGCACAGTAGCACCATGTGATCTTGATCTACTGTGGACACAAACATCAAAGATAACCTCACATCCAATATATGGAGAAAAACAGAACACCCCGTCTCTTCCCGATTCTCATCTAGATAGAGCCATTCGCATGAGTCCAAATGGGATGAAAATCATCTCCAGTAGTTTAGTACCTTTCCGGCGTCAAGCTTTGATGCAACCATGGGGTAGATTTCATCAACCACGAAGCAAATCTGTAACAATTTTTGAGGTTTGAGACCTCTGGACGCCAATGACGTCGGCGCAGGAGTGGTGGCTGGCCTCAATGACGTCGCTGCAGAGCAGTTGTTTCAGCAACGGCTGCGATAGTTGTTGGCTTCCGTGGCAACGACGGCGGACCTCAATGGGAGTGCATATTCGGCGGCTTCTGTGGCAGCAAATTCAAATGGTGACCATCAAGTGTTTGAGCACCCTTGCATTTGTGGATGCATGCAGGAATTCTAGGTGGCGAACAAAAGCTAGTTGGCGGCGGCGGTAGTTGATTTCTACTACAACAACTAGATCCGCCCCCCTCAACCTGGTTTGTAGACGGTGGCAAGTCTTAAGACCAGCGGTTGCAGCTGCGGACACGTTTAAGTGCTAGCAGCGGCGATAGTAGTTACGAGCTCTAGCGGCGGGGATGTTCGTTTCCAATGGCGTTAGGCATTGCTCTTCCCCTTTCTTACAAAATTCCTCCAATTGCCCAAATCTGGAACCTCCCCATTCTTTAGATTTGATAGTTACCATTGGTAAAGCTGGAGGATCCGTCATAGAACGGTGACGCTTCCATCTTCCGGCGGCAGTGCTCCGGTGCTACAGCGGCGACAGTGTTGGACTCCTGCGTTGGATTTTGACTATAACATCTTTTCCCATGGTAGCGGCTGTCTTCAATCGTGGAAGGGGATTGGCGATGGATGGTGGCAGATTCAGGTCAAAGCGGCAATCGACCAGTCGGCGTGGTGCATCCTCGTAGTGATTCATTCAAGTCAAAATCAGGGAAGATCCTGTCAAGATCCTCCCAATCCAGGGTGGTGAGTTCCGGCCACAGTGATTACCGACGCCTGCTTAAGTGAGAAGAAATGGTGATGTTGGCTTCAACGGTGCATCGGTGTAGGAGCGGTTGGCTTCAGTAACGGCGGTGGCACCCGCAGCGTCAACGGCGGCGGACCTCATCACGGACGGAATTGAGGACGGCGCTTGACCCCGCTGGTGCGCGCGCGGCTTCCCGGACTAAGGTGATCCACGACGCACTTCACATCTTCCTTCCTTCCATTCTTTCTTTCCTCCATTTTTTAAAGAGTATGCAAACTATCTTTGGAAATTGGGATGCGACCAAGGGTGATGGCAGTGGTCGAGTGCTTTAGTGGCGAAGACAATCCAAAGGGTGGAGGCCGGCGATCCAAGGTCGCACAGGATCTGGTGGGGATCTGCAATTTGCTAATTTCACGCCTCTCTTTTTTTTGTAAACTTTTCTATCTTCTCTCCAACTTGATGAGATAACCCCCTCCCCTTTGTTTTTTAGCCCAGATCAAGAAAATTTGAATATTTGTGACTTTTTGCTCTAAGGTCCCACGGTCGGCGCCAAAATGATGGTGTAAATTATCGACCGGTATACCGTTTTTAACCCGGCTAAAACGATAAACTAGTCTAAAAATACACCAAAATATAAACACGGGGATTTTGACGTGGAAACCCAAATCGGAAGAAAACCACGGGCCTTTTTTGGCGGTACCTTGCCAACGGGGGATTTTTATTAATATCGGGGGTATGTACACGGTACAAGAGTTCGGCTCGAAAGCCATTAATGGTGGAGCTAGAAGCTCTTTAAAGAATGAAAATGCACAATAATCTAGAGAGAGAAACAAAGTGGGCAGGGGAGAGTGTAAAAATTGGCCTCCTCTTCACATTGGGGGCACCCTCTTTTTATAGGGAAGGAGGGGAAGCATATTCGGGGAATATTCTCTTATTCCTCCATTTTATTAAACAGACCCGGTTTGTTTGTTCTTCGTAAATAATTGGGAAATGTGGGCCGAGTCACGTATTATTTCCCATCATACATGATATAATATATATAGAAAAGATTTCTAACACAACTAGGAATAAAGAATGGAGACCAACTAAAATACAACATCTACCACAAATAGGATTATGAAGCTGACTAATAATGAAACACTACCACAAGTAATACTATTATTATTGTCTAACATCCATTATGGGACGGAGGAGATATATTTCTGGAATGAAATTTTAGAGACTTAGAATGAATTCAGCTATACTTGAGAAAAACTGACGACCTAATGTACTCCATTCGTCTCATCCTCTCTTCGTGCCACATTAAATTGCATGTTTACTATTTACAAGATCAAAATTCATTCATTTTCTTTCTCTATTTTTGGTGTAGAATTTTAACATGTAATTTTTATTTTTAATTCTACATCAATTTTTATATAGAATGATTTGAAAATAATTTCAGTCAAACATCGTAAATCGAAACAGAAAATATAAATTGGGATACAAAGAGTAAAATTGTTGACACTTTAAATTCACGGAGTTTTAAAAATAATGAAAAATATATGTACTCCGCATGTGCTTAGATTGTCCTTAATGCTTCATGGCTTCCCTCTCGTGATTCTATGCGATGAACTCATGTTCGTGACTCCACCATGAATCCGGATTACCAATATTCATAAATGACGAGAAACAATTTTGTAAATAATTTGGTCAGATCTAAGAAACAAAGAAAATGGTTTAAAAATAAGAAACTAAAACCTACTTATTTTTCCTGACTTATAATTTATAAGTCAGCTTATAAGCACACCAAAACATATTATCATCTGACTTACAAATTAAAAACTGCTTACAACAGTTTTGACCAACTTATAAAAATCCAAATAATTTTATGATAGCAATTGAGTTTAAAAGACACTCTACCTTTTTCTAACTTTGTTCGAATGGAAGTCAAGAATAGCAATCCAGGACAAGGGTGGAAAGACATTTTTACCCTCTCCACCTTCCCAATCCACAACAACTCCAAAAAACAAAACAACAAAAAAAAAGAAATGTTTACTACTACTACTACTCCGAGGGGGCTCCACTCTGCACGTCTTCCGTGACTCAAATCTCTCTCCTCTAAAATCCTTCAATTTCTTCATCACCCACAAATATAATTCTTCCATTTTGATCATGTAAGTATATATATATATATATATATATATATATATATATATATATGCATATACAGATATGATACATAACGGACTGTTCATTTATCAAATTGCAATTTGAAAATTTGAATTTTTTAAAAGAGAGAGAGAGAGAGAGATAGAGAGCATGAAATGCTTCCATTTCTCGAATGGGGGGAGGAGGGAGGAAGAAGACGGCGGCGGAGGCGGCAGCGTCGTTTCAAGCTCCAGGTCTTCCGCCGTGGTGTCCTGGGCCAGGTCTCTGAGCATGGCATCCAGCGGCGTCGACTCTACTCGGCGCTCCGAGTTCGACTCCGAGTCCAGGGACTTCCCCGGCGACTCGCTCGGAGGCTTCGTCAACCAGCGCAGGGGAGACGATCTGCGGGTCTTCACCTTCGCCGAGCTGAAATCGTCCTCCCGTGGGTTCAGCCGCGCCCTGATGATCGGAGAGGGCGGCTTCGGCTGCGTTTATCGAGGCGCCGTTGGCGATCCCGGCTCCGATTCGATAATGGATGTTGCCATTAAACAGCTCAATCGAAATGGTTTCCAGGTACTGTATTTCATTTTCGCCTTTTTCTCTCTCGTTTTTCTAAATTTTGATTTTTTGTTTTTGTTTGAGGCTTGTTTGGAAAGGAATCTAGTACCCGGAGTATTTTAAGCCTGGACCGGCATGGAGGCCGGTTCTGGAGGGATTCCCTTTTTTCGGGTCAACTCGGGCCAATATGGGGTTTTGGTGGTTTGGACTAATCAGTTTGGTTTGCGGTTTGACCGGTCCAAATGTCTAATTCGATCCGATTTTAATAACATGGCTTAAAACATGAAATTTGTACCACTTGACATCAAATGTCACAATGACATGGTATGTTGGCATTTTACTGTATTTTCTAGCATCATGCATTGTCATTATTTGATATTTTATGGTATAAAATGTCACAATGGCAAGGTGCATCTTAGTTTTTATTTTGGTATAAAAATATTGAGAGAAGTGGACCATTTATCTTTGAACTTTTTTGAAATTGTATTGTTTACTTTTGAACATTAGATAGGGCACTGTTTACCTTCGAACTCTTCGAAAATTGCACGATTTACTCTTGAATATTAAGAAGTGCACCAAATATCCCTGTACAATCTAAACCGTTGCACCGTTGATCCTAAAATGCTAGATAGAGAGTGCATTGCTTCTAGTCTCTCCCCACACGGGTATTGCGAGTATAATTCATTTGACCCTTGTGAATTTTTCAAAGTATCATTTCCCAAAATTATCATCTTTATTTAAATGTTCAGTGGTAAATCGTGCAATTCTTGAAGAGTTCAGAGGTATTTGGTACACTTTTTAATGTTCAGGGATTAACTGTGCAATTTTTGAAGATTTTAAGGATATTTGGTACACTTTTTTAATTTTCAAGGATAAATTATACAATTTTTGAAGAATTCAAGTGCAAAGGATGCATTTTATTGAAGGTCTTATTTTGATATATGGAGCTTGTTGCAGTCGTGTTTATCCCTTATCCGCTCTATAATTTGCTAGTGAATTTAAAGGATTGAATTATTTTCCCCTGCGCTGGTAATATGTAAAATTCGAGCGATTGTTTAATGAGATTTTAGCCAAGTGTATTGTTCTTTTCCATTTTTACCCTTGTATATCCTTCAATTAATATGGTCCTACTTCTAGAGTTCTTGTGTACTCCAAACAAGTACTGTACTCCATATTATTCAATGTACCTTAGTTAACTATGAGTACATTATTGAATACTAGAAGTACGTAATTAAATAAAGATATAATCGTCTATATCCACAACATTCTCATTAAAGATCATGAAGGCATGTTCTATTTTTTTTTTGTTTAAAAGGCAACAAATATATAGAACACGATATAATTCGGTTTTGTAAATGATATTAGTTGAAAATCAGAAAAAGGAAATGACAGAAACACACACCCAAAAAGAAACCGTTTGATTTTCTCCATGAGTTGCCTGTCTGCTTTCATTGACTTTGACATTTGAACTGAGTTTGAATGTCACAAAGTACAAGGTTTTTTCCCCTTTCTCTAAACAGATTAATTATCTTTGACTAATTCTTATAGAAACATGTGCGTTTGTCATAGGCCACCTCAATAGTCTAAAAAAACGGAAGATTCCTCTGTTTGCTTTCCTCTTAGACTTTGCAAGTTTAGATTTTGACAATGATTCAATTTACCCATCATTGGCTTTGGGATATAATGGAATAAAACAAATTGGCTGTCTAAACTGTCTGTGTTTCTTGCAATTGTGAAATAGCAGTGAGTCAATGCAACGTTCAACGCTCATCATGGGTCTTATATGTTTTAAACAAAGGAGTGAGACTGCGCACATCCCACCCCCTAACCCTTCAATGGGCGGGAGCCGTTGAGGCATTGGGATAATGTTGTTGTTATTGTTGCCCCAATTAACTCCAAAAAAGAAAGTTGTTGATTAACTTTTAAGTGATCATTATGACTTTTGTGATAATGTTCACATACTTCATTTTTACATCAATTCATTAATTAATGAGTGAATTCCATAAATATTCTCTAATTACAAATAGTCTTCTATATTTAGTCATCAATTATAAGATATTATATAAGTAGGTAGTACTCAATTTTGAAAATTATTCTATAATCGGTCTTTCAGAGACTATTGAAAAAATAGTCATATTTATCATAAAAGACTATTTATGAAATAATTTTCAAAATTTGAAAATCTTTCATGTAATATCTTAGAATTGGAAACTAAATATGAAAAATCGACTGAAATTAGGAAGTAGGAACCATTCACGAAATTTACTCCTTTTCAATATATCAATAGAGTGAGTCTTTAGCAAAAAAATATCAATAGAGACATAATAGTCACTAACCAAGAGCAGAAAGAGTAAAACATAACCAAACTTACCATATTGCAAATATTTCTTTGCAATGGTGCATAGCATTCTTTTTGGAACATTACATGCGAATATAAAAGGTTGGCTCCATTTATGAAGAAAAAAGAAACCCTATGCACATAGAACTATAGAAGAAAATCTTAGGGGTATTATAGTAACTGTACAAATGTTCTAGTGTTCAGGGGCATAAGGAGTGGATAAATGAAGTCAACTTTTTGGGGGTAGTGAAGCACCCAAATCTTGTGAGGTTGATTGGATATTGTGCAGAAGACGACGAGAGAGGGATCCAACGGCTTTTAGTCTACGAGCTCATGTGCAATAAGAGCCTGGAGGACCATCTATTTTCCAGATCACTCAATGCCCTTTCCTGGAATACAAGGTTAAAGATTGCCAGAGATGCAGCTCGAGGACTGGCCTATCTTCACGAAGAAATGGATTTTCAGGTGATTTTTAGACACATTAACAAGAATTTTGCTGGTGTGTTGTGTACTGATGCCATCATTCTTCTAATGGGTTTTTGTTTTTTTTCCTCTCTGTTTCAGTTAATCTTTCGCGATTTCAAATCATCAAACATTCTTTTAGATGAAGACTTCAATGCAAAGCTCTCGGACTTTGGGCTGGCGAGCCTGGGACCAGCTCAAGGATTTGGTCATATTTCTACCGCTGTAAGTTCCGTTTCTACCCCTCTTTCCCTCTTCTACACACACAAATACATTTTCATGGCACAAAATAAACCAGAAACAAGTAGTAGGAAGTAAGTATATCACTAGAAACATAAACAATTCACCTACGACTAGAAAGAC